CATGGGAGTCCAGCAACATAGCCATTACGCCATCTGCTAGTCCCTGCATTATTTTATTTCATCTTCAGTGCCACAAAGAAAACCTTTCAGGTCAGTCCCATAGTGCAGTGGTTAAGTGCTTTGCAAAGAAAGGCAGATTCCACACGGTCAACTATAGCTTGGATCCCAGATCTCACATGGCCAACTATAGTTTGTATCCCAGCCCAAGCCCCGGTGGCTTGTAAAACATGCCAGGCACATGTGCATGCGTGCCCCAAATCCTGGAGGGTAGAGGAATGGAGGGAGAAGGATTGCAGTGTGACCATGTCCCATTTAGGGTGTTTTCTCTCTCTTTTGTGCTCTCTATGGCAAGCTCATGTGTCCTCTGGCAATACTAAAGAGAAAACCTTCCACATTCATGAGTTCCCACAGGGGAATATGTATTTACACATGCCAGCAAAACTCCTAAAAGCAGAATCTCCAGATCCAAGGGTGAGGCCTTTAATTGTGGCAGGTGTAGTAGTCATGCCAGTCAACATCCCCATCCTCAATGGACTCCAGGGTGAGGCCTTTAATTGTGGCAGGTGTAGTAGTCATGCCAGTCAACATCCCCATCCTCAATGGACGAACTTGCCTAATTGCCCCCACCAAGTGCTATCAAGTTTCTTGTGTTTTACTCATCTCAAGGGGAAAATTGTATGTCGGTATGGCTTTAGATTGCCTTTCTCTTGTGAGTGACATTAAGCATTCATTTGTAAGTTAGCAATTTTTATGTCTCTTTTCTATAAAATATTATAGTTCATTCATTTTTATGTTGAGTTGCCATTCTCTTCATTTGTAGATCCTCTATACATTTGGGCAATTAGACATTGTCTATGATACGAATTGCAAATGTTCTTTAGGCTTTGCTTTAAGGCTTTCCCCCATGTAAAAATTAAAAAGTTATATAGTATTTTGGTTTTTTTTACTTTGAAAAATGTGATTTTCTGAATCCCAAAGAAATGTGTTCATGTTCAATTTATCAGTATTATTTGGTTTCTGGTTTTATGTGATAGAAAGCTTAAGATTATAAAAATGTTTTTCCCATAGTTTTTCTCTAGTGGTTTTATGGCTCCCACCCCCACCCACATTTAAAGATTTGATCTGTTTGGAACTTAACCTGCTATAAGAAGTGAGGAATGGGACCAGCAGGTGGCTTTTAGGTTAAGGCATCTGGATCCCACATGGCCAACTCTGCGGTTTGAGTCTCAGACCCAACAGCTTGAAAGTCACGTCAGGGGTGTATGTGTGGTTGCCCAAAATCCCTAGAGGAGAGTGGAAAAGTGATTGCAGCATGGCTATCCCCCTTGAAGGATGATTTCTCACTTCCCATCTCTCTCTGTCTCTCTCTGGCAAGTATATTTGCCCTATGGCAAAAATCGAAAACAAAACAAAACAAAAAAAACAGGAGGGAGAGGCCGGCAGGTGGCATGGTGGTTAAGGTACTGGATTCCCGCATGACCAACCTTTGAGTCCCAGACCTGGCTGCCTGAAAATCATACCAGGAGTGTGTGCACACAAAATCCCAAGAGGAGAATGAAAGAGAAGGAATTGTGGCATGGCCATCACTCCTGGGGGAGGGGTGATTTCTCACTTTCCCTCTCTCTCTCTGGCAAACACACATGCCCTATGGCAAAAACAAAACAAAACAAAGTGAATTTAATAAACAAATTGTTAAAAAAAAGAAGGGATAAATTCAATTTCCCTTGTTTTCTAGATGGATAGCCAGTGTAACCAACATTTATTGATTAATCTATTCTCCAGAAATCAGAGATACCACCTTTTATCATGAGCTAAATTCTCACCTCAACATTTTCAGAATGAAATGATGCCTGTTACTTAGTGATATCAGTATTCTCTTCGATTAATAGCTAAGCTTCTTAAGAAAGTAATTTTAAAGCTTTTTCTTATGATACATTTTATTGTAATATTTAATTTACATATAATAGTTGGACATCTTTGTGGGGTACACTGTGGTTTTTCAAAGCGTATGTGCAATGTGTAGTAGTCAAATCAAAGAAATAAACATCTCCATTCCAAATGTATTATTACTTTGTATTGTGTACATTCAAAATTTGTTCTGGTAATTTGGAGTTACATATTAAATTGTCATTAACATCCTTTACACTAAGTGGCTATGATACTCTGTAACCCATTCCAGTTGTTTATATCCACCCAAATATATAAAACAGATAGACCTAAAGGGAGAGATAGACATGGACACAGTAATTGTTGGGGATTCCAACATGCCCCTCTCAGCACTGGACAGATAAGAGCTTATTTTCTACTGAAAAAAAAATCATATACCAAACTTCTGAGAGCATATTTTCCAACTAGGAAATGAGTATGGGTTTGAGCAAAAGAAAAGTCAGAGCAAATAAAGATACTAAATTAAAAATAATTTAATAATTAATAGTTTTAAGACAGTTTGGTATGGTGGGGGGAAAAAAAGCTAAACTAAGAGGTAGGAAGCCTTCTGACCTTGTTTACTTGGTCTCAGTCTGGTTGCTTCATAATTAATAATAACAATAAAACTTAGGCCAGCATTGCCTGGTCTAGAGAAAGTGCTTCTGAGAGTTTTAAATATATTAATTCTGTTCAGTTAATGTAATTTAACAATTCTGTAAACTGTCCTAAATTTTATAGATGTTAAGTATTATTACTAATAAAAATGTAGATCGACCCTTTCAGGTCAGTCCATAAAACAAAAACAAACAAACAAACAAAAAACATGGGCCGGTTGTGGTGGTCCGGCCATAGTGCAGTGTTCTCCAGTGCTGGAAACTATGGAAGCCCGGGTCTGCTTCTGGGTCAACTTCTACATGCTGGGCATGTGTGTGTGCCCATGATCCTGGAAGGTTGGGAAGACTTGGGGGAAGATTGGGCGTGAGACCCTGCTGAGAGTGCATCTCTCTTTCTGTGTGTGTGTGTGTCTCAATAAACAAATGAACAAACTTTAACAAAACAAAACCAATCCAACACTGTTACAAACTATACGCATGCTATAAAGTATATGGATATAAGGTAGAAGGCTTATGCCTTTGGACTCAGTATCTTCCTCACCTTAACGTTTCTGTGCCTTTGTATATGCTGTTTCCTTAGTCTGAATGCCTTTCCCCCAGCATGTGAGCAAGTACCCTTCTTTCCCTTTTTTTTTTAAAGACCAACTCAAATGGCACCTCGTGGCATCTTTTCCAAGCAGAATTCATGCAGCTGTCTTTAAATGCAATGGTATACATTATAGTAGTAGAAGAGGAAGACTTAGTATTTATTTTGTCTCATCCATTAGATTTGAACGTCTCGAGGGCAAGGTCTGTGCATTAGTCAAGCTTGCACTTCTGCTCTGCGGCTGACACTATATAGTCCCTGGCATTCATCTGAAAGAAAAGAATGAAAATGAACATACATGATTCTGTGGTGTCCAATTTGATACAAGTCGGAGAGGCCTCAGTCAATCAGAACTTATGAGCCCTAGTAGATGATAAAACCCAATCATTTATTCATCTCTTATTCTTCCTCTTTGAATGTAGAAGAACCTGAACTCAAAGTATTAAATGGTTTAGAGTTCATTTTAAAGATGTATCTATAAGGTGACTGTCAGATACTTTCTGTGAGTGTGTGTTTTAGCCAACTTGAATTTTATCTCTAAAAGCCACATCGGGGGCACCTGGCTAAATAAAAATATTGATTAAAATGAGATTAGGAAATACGAAAACGTCACACTTCTCAGACTGTCAGACTTCTGCCAACTACAACTATCTGGAACATATTCAAGAAGCCCAGAAGGCATCCAAAAAGGCCTCTGAAGTTGGAAGAAAATAGCTCACACAGCCTGTGTACTTGATGTAGGAGGGGACCGGGCTGCTCACATGCCAAAGCCTACTTACTGCCTTGGAATTTCGTAGAAAATCCCAGGACTGCTTAGCAAGTGTGGATATTTTGCTTCCTTTCAAGACATTTAAGCTTGTCTTGAGTTTCAGTAGGAAAAAAAGATGAAAAGAACTCTCCCACCCACGCTGCTAGAAGGTACTAAATAAAACATTGTTGACATGGGTGTATAAGTGATTCTCATGTTTTTGTACCATAAATCATGGAAACTTACTTTTTTCTAAACCTATTTTTTTTTTAGCCTTTAAGAATTCCAATTGGCTCACATAAAAATCAGTTGTGCCAATACTTAATCTATTCTACTAAAAAAAAAATCTGGTATTTAAAATGAGGAATGGCCCTTTGATCTCACCTCTTTGAAAATGAGTAATTAACTTGAGAAAGCCCTCTTTATTCCTTTATTCAAGTATTTATGTGATTTTTAGAGTTTATTTTGTTTCATGGTGGAAAGAAAGAGGGAGTGAGACACGCACCCTCTAGAGTCATGCCATGCCACAGTCGTCCCCTACCCACAAGCCATCCAGCCAGCCAGAACCTAGGTATGCATGCGCCCAGTGAGCTTGGGACCCCCAAGATATGAACCCCTGGTTTTCCACATGGCTTCCAGCATTTGCAGAGCACACCCTACTACCTGCCCTTGTGGCTGGGCCGGGCGTTTGTGTAATTTATCATAAGTTGAATTATTTTTTGGTAAGAACTTATTTAATTTTACTTATTTATCATTATTTTTCAGTTTGCTACAGGGCACACACGCTGACCAGAGAGGCAGAGAGAGGGGGAAAGTAAGAAAGCAAGCCACCAGATCCGGGACTCGAACTATAGTCAGCCATGTGGGGAGTCCAGTGCCTAAACCATCACTCCACTGGCCAGCCCTATAGGCTGAATTCTTGAATGTGAAAGGAGTATATGTAAATTTCTTGGCATAATTTGGTAAAAGCTATAAAAGTAAGCCAAGAGGGAAAGTCAAAAGGCAGGTTTAAATGATTTGGGGACCTATTTTAATGCACGCTCTCACCATGCTTTCTGTGGAGAGACTACAAGATTAATGAAAATCAGTATCATTCCATTTTCTTTCTTTCTCCTTCTATTTCTAGATTGCCAAAATGCTTTGGAGGTTTTAACTGAATCTAAGAAAAGTCCAAAATAGATTTGAGACTGTAAAAACAGAAGCTGCAGCAAGGGGGACTCAGTGCCAATGCATCAACAAAAAAGACAACCAGAGTTAGTGGAAGGAAATCTTCCTGTTTTTGTGTTTCCCACGGAGCTAATATTTTATGCAGATGACCAGTCAACACATAAGCAAGTGCTGACTCTGTACAATCCCTATGAGTTTGCCTTAAAGTTCAAAGGTGAGTCTCCTAGGTCTCTCTTATGATTTTTTAACTAGACCCTACTAATTTTTTTTTTACTTGTAGAAACTAATTTTTGTAAAAAAACCACTAATGGCCATGTGACTTTTTCTTTCAGTTTTGTGTACTACTCCAAATAAGTATGTTGTCGTTGACGCTGCAGGTGCAGTAAAGCCTCAGTGTTGTGTGGATATGTAAGTCAAACTCATTTCCGGGTAACACGTTTGAAATGTGTTAATATTTGTTGTTAACTTGAAAAGATATTTTCTTGAAGCTGTTTTCACATAGGCATTTATTATCGTTTGAATTTTTGCTGAAAGTTAAAGTCAATCAGAATTCTTTGAAAACTGTTTCCAAGAGATTTTAAACAGATTAACCCAATATGTAATACCATTTCTTTATGTTGGAGCTACCGTACGTGTTAGTATCTCCACAATTGTCTCCTCCTTGTTGTGGTTTGAGTCATAGCAGAGTTGTTTATGAAGGTCAGGTTCTGACTTGTCTCTTTACATTTCTCCAGCTGTGATAAGGAATTTGGCTTTCTTTGGAATATCCTGCTGTTATAGTGACAGTGGAAACTAATAATACTCCAGTCTAAGAACAGTAGTAATACAAGTTCTTCCAAAGTGATTTAGCTCATAAACCTGGAAATTAATCTATGTAAACAGGAAACAAGTGTGGAACTCCTCATCTGTTAAAGGTTATCTGAGCTCTTCCACATAATTTCATCTTAGAGTGTCAGATAAATGATTGTTTGTTCAAGCTGTTCATATTTAATTTTCGCTTTAGAACTAGTGGTGACCAGATGGATCCACTGACCAGCCCTTAATTTCAGCTTCCACATAAACTGTATTTGTTTAAATCTTCTGTGAGAATGAAAAGGAGAATGCTGTTCTGTCAAATACATTTTCATCATTTCAAAGCCATAAAATGATGTGTCTTTGGGAACGTGTTTTTACACATTTCTTTTTTTACTGTTTATTTCTTCCATGAGTGAGGGGTGTGTGCCTGTGTGTGTGTGTGTGTGTGTGTGTGTGTGTAGAGACCCCCCCACACACACAGGGTCCTCATGCTAAGATCCACCCTAAATCTCAGCCAACCTGGATCATGGGCACATGTGTGTGACAAGCATGCTCAGGAAGGTCCCGGGATGAGAACCCAGGACCTTTCTAATGTGTGTCCAGCTGTGGCACTACTGCGCCACCACCTGGCCCCTGCACATCTCCTTTTGATTTTCATTCAGTGCACAATAAGCAAGGACTAAATGTAGTCTTTCGCCTTTGACCAAGTTACCTTGGACCTAAATTGTTTTATGTTCCCTAGTAGGAATAAAGTAAAATAAATGGAATTGCAGAAAACTCATAAAAATTACCATGCATTGTACTCTTTTCTCTTTAGAGAAATGCAGAGGATGTGAAAGGAGTATATGTAAATTTCTTGGCATAATTTGGTAAAAGCTATAAAAGTAAGCCAAGAGGGAAAGTCAAAAGGCAGGTTTAAATGATTTGGGGACCTATTTTAATGCACGCTCTCACCATGCTTTCTGTGGAGAGACTACAAGATTAATGAAAATCAGTATCATTCCATTTTCTTTCTTTCTCCTTCTATTTCTAGATTGCCAAAATGCTTTGGAGGTTTTAACTGAATCTAAGAAAAGTCCAAAATAGATTTGAGACTGTAAAAACAGAAGCTGCAGCAAGGGGGACTCAGTGCCAATGCATCAACAAAAAAGACAACCAGAGTTAGTGGAAGGAAATCTTCCTGTTTTTGTGTTTCCCACGGAGCTAATATTTTATGCAGATGACCAGTCAACACATAAGCAAGTGCTGACTCTGTACAATCCCTATGAGTTTGCCTTAAAGTTCAAAGGTGAGTCTCCTAGGTCTCTCTTATGATTTTTTAACTAGACCCTACTAATTTTTTTTTTACTTGTAGAAACTAATTTTTGTAAAAAAACCACTAATGGCCATGTGACTTTTTCTTTCAGTTTTGTGTACTACTCCAAATAAGTATGTTGTCGTTGACGCTGCAGGTGCAGTAAAGCCTCAGTGTTGTGTGGATATGTAAGTCAAACTCATTTCCGGGTAACACGTTTGAAATGTGTTAATATTTGTTGTTAACTTGAAAAGATATTTTCTTGAAGCTGTTTTCACATAGGCATTTATTATCGTTTGAATTTTTGCTGAAAGTTAAAGTCAATCAGAATTCTTTGAAAACTGTTTCCAAGAGATTTTAAACAGATTAACCCAATATGTAATACCATTTCTTTATGTTGGAGCTACCGTACGTGTTAGTATCTCCACAATTGTCTCCTCCTTGTTGTGGTTTGAGTCATAGCAGAGTTGTTTATGAAGGTCAGGTTCTGACTTGTCTCTTTACATTTCTCCAGCTGTGATAAGGAATTTGGCTTTCTTTGGAATATCCTGCTGTTATAGTGACAGTGGAAACTAATAATACTCCAGTCTAAGAACAGTAGTAATACAAGTTCTTCCAAAGTGATTTAGCTCATAAACCTGGAAATTAATCTATGTAAACAGGAAACAAGTGTGGAACTCCTCATCTGTTAAAGGTTATCTGAGCTCTTCCACATAATTTCATCTTAGAGTGTCAGATAAATGATTGTTTGTTCAAGCTGTTCATATTTAATTTTCACTTTAGAACTAGTGGTGACCAGATGGATCCACTGACCAGCCCTTAATTTCAGCTTCCACATAAACTGTATTTGTTTAAATCTTCTGTGAGAATGAAAAGGAGAATGCTGTTCTGTCAAATACATTTTCATCATTTCAAAGCCATAAAATGATGTGTCTTTGGGAACGTGTTTTTACACATTTCTTTTTTTACTGTTTATTTCTTCCATGAGTGAGGGGTGTGTGCCTGTGTGTGTGTGTGTGTGTGTGTGTGTGTGTAGAGACCCCCCCACACACACAGGGTCCTCATGCTAAGATCCACCCTAAATCTCAGCCAACCTGGATCATGGGCACATGTGTGTGACAAGCATGCTCAGGAAGGTCCCGGGATGAGAACCCAGGACCTTTCTAATGTGTGTCCAGCTGTGGCACTACTGCGCCACCACCTGGCCCCTGCACATCTCCTTTTGATTTTCATTCAGTGCACAATAAGCAAGGACTAAATGTAGTCTTTCGCCTTTGACCAAGTTACCTTGGACCTAAATTGTTTTATGTTCCCTAGTAGGAATAAAGTAAAATAAATGGAATTGCAGAAAACTCATAAAAATTACCATGCATTGTACTCTTTTCTCTTTAGAGAAATGCAGAGGTCTATTGTTAGCCTTTGGTCATAGTAGATTAATTACTTATTCAGTTACTTATTTTTACCTGCATGCAGAGAATTCAATTTTCAGTTGAGGGTAAGGTTAGTTTCTTGAACAATAACAGTGGCAGAAGAAATTATGAGATATTTGTGGGGGAATTTTATATATTTCTATTTAGTAAATCTGCTACATACAGATATCTAGGAAAAAAATATCATTGCTAATGGCAATTTTCTTTACCTATCATCCTTTTATGTAGGACTTTACCCCTATGTTTTAGAGTATGTGCTTTCATCAACTGTTTTCGAATTATCCATTTCCTCTTGGGCTATCCTGCAATGTTTTAGCATCATTGGCAAATTTCAGTTTTTGAGTGTTAGGTTCCAGTCAGATAATACTGTTTCGCTGTATTGAAACCTCTTGCTGCATTCTGTTTAAGAAAACCCCAGTAATCTGAGCAGCGTTTATGGTTGGCTGTTTTCAGTGTGATTCGTCATAGAGATGTTCGATCCTGTCACTATGGTGTAATAGACAAATTTCGTCTCCAAGTTTCCGAGCAAAGCCAGAGGAAGGCTTTAGGAAGGAAAGAGGTTGTTGCTACTCTTCGCCCATCTGCAAAAGAACAACAAAAGGAAGACGAGGAAAAAAGAATAAAGGAACATTTAACCGAAAGTTTATTTTTCGAGCAGTCATTTCAAGCAGGTAATTTGGGCGTGTTTTTAAAGCCCTTTTGAGATCTTACACATTTCTAACTTTAAAATAATCAAGGAGCTAAGAATAATTACTAGAAAAATAATTTCACTTTAAATCTAATCAGCTACTTCAAAACTACAGGCTCACTGGTGGCATTGTGGTTAAGGCACTGGACTCCCACATGGCCAATGGCAGTTCAAGTCCCAAACCTGGCAGCTTCCTTTCTCATTTTCCCTTTCCTTCTCTGTCTCTCTCTGGTCAAATTAAAAAATAAATAATAATGAATTAAATAAATAAATCTTTAAAAAAAACAACAACAAAAAACTGAACCAGAGAATCAAGTACCTGAGGGACCAGCAGTTAGCGTAATGGCTATGTTGCTGAATTCCCATGTGGTCGACCGCAGGTTAAGTCCCGGATGCAGAGACTTAAACTCACGCCGGGCACGTGTGTGTGTGTGTGCCCAGTATCCCGAGAGGAGAATGAAGGAGAAGGGATTGTGGTGTGGCCATCCCCCCAGGGGGTGATTTCTTGCTTTCTATCTCTCTGTCTCTCTCTGTCTTTCTGGCGAGCGCACGCGCCCTATAACAAAAACCTCCCCAAAAAAAAAAAAAAAAAATCAAGTACCTGAAATAGAGCAAGTGGCCTAGAGCTGGACTTTCACAGGAGAGAATATCCCTCACTAGACTAGGCTGAAAGGAGAGGACAAAGGTTGCCATAGCCATTTACTTACTTATAAGGTTTTTGCCATAAGGTGTGGGTGTTCACCAGAGAGAAGGGGGATGACCATGATGAGATCCCTTCTCCTGTATTCTCCTTGCAAGATTTTGGGCATGCACACACATGCTTCTGGCGTTATTTCAAGCCACTGGGTCTGGGACTTGAACTACGGGCAGTCCTGTGGGAGTCTAGCACCTTAAGTACTATGCCATCTACTGGCCCCTATTCATTTAATTTTTTTACAGTTTGCTATAGGGTGTGCATACTCTCTGGAAAGAGACACACATGGAGAGAGAAAGGGAGAGGGAGAGAGGGAGGGAAAATGAAAAATCACCTCCCAGTAGGAGTAGCACCACACCACGGTCCCTTCTTAATTTTCCTCTTAGGGTTTTGGGCATGCATGCACAAATATAGGGCATGTTTTTCTTCCTTTCTTTTTCTTTCTTTTCTTTCTCCTTATTTCTTTTTGAGAGAGATATTTTTGCTATAGGGTGTGTGTGCTTGCCAGAGAGACAGAAGGAAAGAACTCACTCCCCCTCCCCAAGGGGGATGGCCACACTGCAATCTGTTCTCCATTCTCCTCTTGGGATTTTGGGCACAGATGCACACATACCTGGCATGAGCTTTAAGCCACTGGGTTCGAGACTCGAACCACGGTCGACCATGTGGGAGTCCAGTACCTTAACCACTATGTCACGTGTTGGCCACCTGTTGGGCATGTTTTTTAAGTTGCTGGGTCCAGGGCTTGAACTTGGCTGTCAGCCATGTGAGATCTAGTTCCTTAATCACCATACCACCTGCTGGGCCTGCCATAGCCTTTCAAATATGTCTATAGCTGTCTATCCATTTATCTATAAATATATACATAAAATCCGATATGTATGTGTGTATCTATATAATATCTGATACTACAGGCACCGTAGTGATGCTAGTACAATTTGGCAATTACATACTTTTGTTTCTATGACTTTCCCATATCCTTTCTCATTTAATTAGTTCAAAGGAGGAGAGAGATTGTGTTTGGCAATAGGCCAAGCTTAGTGCACTGTTCATATTATTTTGAAAAAAAATTTAATTAAAGTTGAAGTTAATTAAACTAAGTAGATTATAATATCCCCTGTAGGCTATTAATTGAATCCCTCTCCATTCCTCATTTCCTTCCAGCTTAGATTTTCAGAAGTGTTATGATATATTCTTTCAACATTGACACTATCCTCATATTCAACTCTTTGGACGTCATTCCCCCTCCCTCTTAACTTCTCATTATCTCCCCCCAAACCTATTATAAGAGGAAGATAAAATTTTCCATAGAAAAACACGGAAACTTTTTGATGGTGATTTATGAATGTGATAGCAGCTGTCCTTGAAATTGCAACATTGTATTTTATTTTTCCAAAATTGACCTGTGGGGGCCTGCAGGTGGTGTGATAGTTGGGGCTCTAGACTCCTACATGGCCATCTATGGTTCGAGTCCCACACCTGGAAACTTGCTTTTTACTTCTCTCTCTCTTTCTGTCTGTCTCTCTGGTGAGCACACATGCTCAAATTAAAAAGTAATAATAATAAGTACAATGAAGTCATTCTTTTTTTAAAAATGGACCTGTTATTGCATTAATTTATAGATCCACATCAGATTGTTTATCTTAGAACATTTATTTCAATCTTTGATTTTCCATAGCCAAGTGTGTTCTCAGTCCAGGTAGGGGTGCCCAGATTTTGAGATGATACTGGGACTAGGTAGTAGCTAGTAAACAGTTTCCTTCTCAGCAACTCAGTAACTAACAGGACCAGCTTTTCATCTTTTGAAGCTGAACCAGAACCACTGTCAAATGTCACTCTGTCAGATCAGTATCGTGAAGTTGACTTATTTATGAAATGCCAGATTCCCCTTTTAAAATGATTATTCTAGAAGAAGAAAGGCCATTTAAAAAGTTTTTGACTTTCAACATTAAATTCATAATTTAAAGTGGTCATCGGAGCTCTTTTTTATACTTAACAGATTTGTTTTTTTTCAAGTTTGCTTATGTCATGTGTGAAACAGGCTGAGAGATGGACGAGCAGTTGCTGGTCTCACATGTAGCCGACCGCGGTTCGCGTCCTGGACCCAGTGGCTTAAACTCATGCTGGGTGCGTGTGTGTGCGTGCCCAAGATCCCGAGAGGAGAATGGAGGAGAAGGGACTGCAGGAAGGCTATCCCCCCGGAGGAGTAATTTCTCACTTTCTGTCTGCCTGTCTCTCTCTGTCTTTCTGGTGAGGGCACCTGGTGAGCGCGTGTGCTCTGTAGCAAAAACCTCTTCAAAAAGAGAGAGAGAGAGAGAGAGAGAGAGAGAGAGAGAGAGAGGGGGGGGGACAGGCTGAGAGAGAGAGAGAGAGAGCACCCCTAACCGATCTCGATGCTGTGATCCACACCCAATCTTAGTTAGCCCTTAGCCCTTGATTGTGGGCACCTGTGTGCCTGGCTTCTTCAGGGAGGACTCTAGACATAAACCTGGAATCTTCCCACGTTGGTCAGCATTCCAGAGTATCACATCCCACTGCTGCCCTATGGCATGGCCCCCGGACTAGTTTAGTAGCTATGAATAATAAAGGCTTGAGAGAGAGAGTGTGTGTGTGTGTGTGTGTGTGTGTGTGTATTGAAGGAACTTTATTCCTTTATTTAAATTTTTGCCAGAGGGCACTTGTGCTCACCAGAGAGACAGGGTGGGAGGGTGGGGAGTGAGAAAGCACCCCTCCATAGGCTATGGCCACACCACAATCCCTTCCACATTTCTCCCTCCTTTCAGGATTTTGGGCATGCATGCACATGTTCCTGGTGTGTTTCTCAAGTTGCCTGGTCTAGGACTCAAACCACACAGTCAGCCATGTGAGATTTAACTGCCTTAACCACCACAGCATGGGCTGGTCCCCTTTTATTAATTTTTTTTGACTTAGTAGAATTTATGTGAAAATCATCATAAAAGACTAAATAATTACAATATGTATTGTATTTTAGAGAGTTCTAACTGGAAAACTGGAGTAGATAGATGAATGAGGATAGGTAACATTGGCATAACATGGGATAGTCTGTTTCTTTTCGGGGAAAATTCTCTAAGCCATCACATCAGGAAGCTTAATGAAGGCAGGTACCCTGTTTGTCTTGTTCCCCATATGTCCTCAGTGCCTGCTGCTGGCACAGAGTAGAAGTATAGCAAGTGTGCGAGTGGGCTGTTAGGAAGACTAGACTTCACATCTGGTACGGGTCTGTGGGGTTGGTTTTCTTGAGCTGATAAGGTTTGCCATTCTGTAGAGGAAGGATGATACCATGAGGTAGGACCCCATTCACCCATTTCTAGTCCTGGCCAACATGTCCTGGTCATGGTTATTATTTACTATAGTGCATCTAATAATTGGGCAGTAAACTGAGTGATTTTCTTCATTTATAGAGTATAACGATGAATGGTTTGGTCTGTTGACAAAGCAATATGTTTTTCTCCTATCTATTAATTTAATGATAATTAATGTGTGGTTTCCAGTGTATAGAATTCTCAGGTCTGGGACTTGAACCATGGTCAGCCATGTGGGAGTCCAGCACTTTCAACACCATGCCATCTGTTGGCCCCTCAAATAGATTTCTAAGTGAGGGGAAAAGCCAATTTTAGAATTTCATTGAACTAAAATGGTGAAATAAATCAAAATTGTTTTCTGGGAGGTTTTTATTTTATTTATTTATTTATTAGAGAGATTTTTGCTATAGGGCACATGTGCTTGCAGGAGAGACAGAGAAAGACAGAGACAGAAAGCAAAAAAATATCACCCCCCAGAGGGGATGGCCACACCACAATCCCTTCTCCTCCATTCTCTTCTCAGGATCTTGGGCACATACACACATGTACCCAACGTGAGTTTCAAGCCACCAGGTCCAGGACTTGAACCACAGTTGACCACATGGAAGTCCAGCAACATAACCATTAAGCTATCTGCTAGTACTCTCTGGGAGATTTTTAAATGTCATTATTTTTGCAAGTCTTTAGCTTAGAAAACATTCTAACAAAAGCATACCATTAGAAATAGGAAATTTGCCTTAGTGTTGCAAGGCTCACTATTAGCTGGAAAAGGGTTGAAGTCTACATCAAGAAAAATTGAGATTTTAAAATCCATTTTTTTTAGAGGTTTTCGCTATAGGGCGCGTGTGCTTGCCAGCCAGACAGAGAGAGACAGAGAGACAGAAAGCGAGAAGTCACCCCCCAGAGGGGATGGTCACGCCACAATCCCTTCTCCTCCCTTCTCCTCTCCGGATGGGCACGCACGCACATGCGCCCGGCGTGAGTTCTAAGCCACCAGGTCCGGGACGCGAACCACGGTCAACCTCGTGGGAATTCAGCGACATAGCCATTATGCTAACTGCTGGTTCCTGAGATTTTAAAATCTATTGAAAGTCAGTAGAAATGAAAAGTTTTTCTCAAGTTTATTGTATAAAAGATATATAGCAGTAACAAATTCAAAAAAGGATACAACACTATAATCCCACACACTTAACAAATCTGCTTATATAAGTGTTCTGTGTTACTTTCCAGACATTGCCTATGTGTAAGTACAATTTTATGCTTTGTGGGGTTCTTTTACTTAACAGAAATTTAACTGATAAATTCAGAAAAACCCACACAGTCCACTTTGACAAAATACCAAAGCCCAGGTTATTAAAAAGATGTTTTGATAGATACAACTGAATCTCAGCGGGTTTGTCTTAATTACCACATTAGTAATGAACTGCTATGTCTATGTTGTGTTTGAGTCTGTGCCCTCTGGCTTAAGAAAATTATGTTCTTTATTATTGTTTAGAATAATAAAAAATTGAAAATGACCTAAAAATCCTTCAATTGGGAATTGATTAAATTATGAATATTCATAAGACAGAATACCAGGCAGACATTTCCAAGAATCTGATAGAATGATAGATGTTTATATATTTACATAGAGTTTAAAACCTTTTTTTTTTCCTTTTATTTGTCATAGGGTGTGTGAACTCACTGGAGAGAGACAGAGAGAGGGAAGGTGAGAAATCTGACCCCCCCC